AAGTAGATACTTCTCTGTCAAACAGGGTCACAGCGTTCCTGACTTCACAGCACCATCCAAAGACACCCCAGCTTTGGAGGCATCTCAATTCTGAAACATCTCCAGGTTTTTCAGTCCTGAAGACACCCCAGGTGGGAAGGTTCCCCAGGTCTGAAGTCTATCTTGAAGCCCAGAGGGACTCTACAGAGAAGAGCCTGCTTGTTTTTGAGGGGAAAGAAATCTTCCTGCCCACACACCAAGAAAAAGTACTGCAGAAACGCTTTGAAGCTGTTAAACTTTCCTCCTGGGAATTTCTCCCCAGGTTTGAGTTTTTCCTCTTAAAAAGAAAACGCATATTTTTGTGGCCGTGGTATCACATGGTGGGACTGCTCACACATCAAAAGGATTCAAAACTCACTTTGAAAGAGGTTCACAGAATAACCATAATGCTTCCTTGCTTTTCCAGCCACGAAACCTACTCGTCTCTGGAAAGCAATTGCTCCACACCACTAAGGATTAGGCAGGAGTAGACCCGTCTGGCTGCAAAAGGCACACCACCATCCTTCTGAAGTGTAAGTTTGTGCTGTAAACTTACCTCGAGCTCTTGGTGCTGTTAACTCAAGTGCTTATTCATACAAAGAATCTCTTTAGTCCAATGTGAAGGTGTTTTCAAACTGCTTTTGTTGGCAGGACTGAGGCATGCAGAGGATGTTGGGGAAAGCAGCCCATCACTGCCACTCTAGGGTGTCAACAAGGGAAAATTCACCTCCACAAAACTATTTTGCAATGCATCCCAAAAGCATCTGCACTCTGCCCCAGCTTCCAGCAGTGTTTAAGCCCACAGGATCTGCCTCCAGGTTCCACAACACACAAACCCTCAGGTTACCTTGGTTAACCCAAGAGGACTGGGATCGTGGGCTCATCCTGACCTGTCACAGCCAGCAATAGGGACAGGCACAGATCCAGTAGCAGGGACCTGCACAGCATCCTGATGAGTGCACTAAGGCAGCTGTGCAGTGAGCATCACCTCTTGAGCTTGGTCAGATGGAGAGAGCACTGCAGGAGTGTTTGGTCAGTAATGGAAGGTACTGCTTTGTTGCAGTTTGGATTTTCATTCCCCTTGAGCCCGGTTCAAGAGAATGTAAGGAAAACAAATGTCTTACAGCAGAACCAATGGGGGAGTAGCCTCAACCTCAGCACCACAATCTCAGCATCCCTGTCCTGCTCTTTGTTTTCCCATTTCACACAGAGTGAATCCCAAAACCCACGTGAGCTGCAATAGAGGCAGTGTTTCTCTAATAGTGTATAGACTGCTGGAGAAATCAGGCTAGGCAGCCTGAAATGACACTGGAGATTGTGAACAACTGCACCTTAAAAGCATGCAGCTAACCCTGAGAGCCATTCAGTTCAGAGCAGAGAATAGCAGATTCTCTAAATACTGCAGAAGAGGCTGGTATTTCAGTTGCAGATGGAGAAAAATTATGTCAAGAGCATGGTTCAAATCTCTGCTGTTTAAATAACCTCCTCCAAGCAGCTTTGGTAAATATAATGCCATGAAAGAGCCCTTCTACGACAGCAATCTGCCATCTGGATTCCCCCACGTGTGCTCCTCAACCACCCTGCATCTCCTGGAGGGGAGATGCTCAGAAGGAACAAAGCCTCTGCAGACAGGAAACAATGCTGGAAAGCACAGATAGGATTCCCTGCTGGCTTAGCAACATCATAAATCATGGGTTGGGCCTGACACAGAACACACAAGAACCTTTAAGGGATGCTTAGCCCCTTCGCTCTGACCGCTCTATTTCTCTTCCCAGTCCTGTCCCATTGGACATCAGCAGAAGGAGACACATTCTTGACCAGAAGCTCTGCAAGCAGACCTGGATGCACACCCTGGTCCCCACAAAGCCCAACCTTGGTCACGTTTGCTCCAGCATATCGTTACTGTTTTAATTGGCCATACTTGCATGCCTGGAATACCGTGATGTGATTACACTTGCTCCCCTGGTGCCAGCCACGGCAGCCTGGTATAACAGGTACAGTGCTGATTTATGAGCCACCCTCAGCACCACGCAGCCTTTTTCATTAAGTCTCACCCGTCGGAGCCATCTGAAGATATTTCCTGCTGCTACAAAACTTCCCATGCTCTGTCTCAGCCCTGAAGTGATGCTGGAGGAGGGAGAAGAGAGAAATCTTCAGTCTCTAAGCCATAAACACAAGCAGGTTAAAACATCCCTGCAGGCATTCAAGGCCAGGCTGGATGTGGCTCTGGGCAGCCTGGGCTGCTGGTTGGCAACCCTGCACATAGCAGGGGGTTGGAACTGGATGAGCATTGTGGTCCTTTTCAACCCAGGCCAGTCTATGATTCTAATCCTACTTCCAATGTCTGACAGTAATCCCAGGTTTCCAAACCCATACTCAGGGATAGAGATAACAGCATCCCAACTTTTAAAAGCACTGCAGCCTCTCTGGCTTCCATAGCTGAAGAAAACAACATGGATGGTGTCTATTTCAGAACCTGCAATTTAGTTTTAATACTTTCCAAGACTGTTTGTTGTTTTTTTTCCTTTTCATTTGCAACTCCACCTTTGGGATTAGTGATTTTATTTTATGGAGGGATATTAATAGTAGGCAGCCAGCCTTGTTTATTGTTTTGTTTTTTTTTTTTTTTCCAAACCAGCATTCAGAAGGAATAGATTAAATCATTAAATACACACAAGCACAGGAAACACTGGAAACTCTTAGCCATTATCCTATGAAGGGAATGCCAATGCAAACACTATAATAAAATATTCTTCACTGAAATCAACACTAATTTTCTGAGGCAATCAAATTCATCCCCTTGATCCCTCCTCCTAGGGAAACCAGCCAGCACAGCTAAATTCAGATCTATGTGGCTCTATGCTTAAATTTGGTTTGGGCATGCTGCAAATCAATGATTTCAGAGAGAAGAGAGTACCCAGAGAGAGCTTAGCCATGAGGATGATGATGCTCTGAGCTGACATCTCACCAGCAACTCAGAACCAGCACCCAGCCTTTCACAATGCCTACTCTTGTGCAATGACCAGCATTTATTCTCTCATCATAGAATGGTTTGAGTTGGTAGAGACCCTTCAAGGCCACCCGTCCCACTCCCTGCACTGAACAGGGACACCCACAGCTCCATCAGTGCTCACAGCCCATCCAGCCTGATGTTGGCTGTCTGCACGGATGGGGCACCACTGCCCATCTGGGCAGCCTGTGCTGAAGTGCTTCTGACATCACACAATCATACACAGTTTAGGTTGAACACAGAACTCACATCTTTGGCACGGGATCAATCAAGCTTTGCTAAAGCTCCTCAACTTAAGGGGAGTAGTAGTTAAACTGCCTCACAGGAAGTGCTGCTAAAAGCACCCTGCTCTGCATAAGATGAGAGACTTTGTCATAAAAAATGAGGAAAAAAATCAAGCATGGTCACAGAATCATTGAATGGCCTGGGTTGAAAAGGACCACAATGATCATCCAATTCCAACCCCTCTGCTATGGGCAGGGTTGCCAACCACCAGGCTGCCCAGAGTCACATCCAGCCTGGATGTTCAGCATCTTATGGATTAATCCTGGGCCTCGAGTCAGGATAACTACAGCCAGGAGGAATAAAAGTGACACAAATCACCCAGCCACTTACCGGGGTGTGCTCACAGCGTTCTGCTAAACAGCATCTGCCACTGTCCTCCAGAAACCTCATTTCCAAGGGAGAAGAGAGAAGTCACTCTGACAGCCCTGCGACTTCCCAGCACTGATTTCCTTGAGAACATCTTAGCTTGTTTTCTAGAACGTGTCCCCATGGTGGCAGGAGCCATGTGGTGGTATGGGGAGAGCTGCATGAGGATGGAAGATGGCACTTCCAACCCCACTTCTTTTGTATGGGTGATGCAAATTCTCTAAATCACAGAATCCTAAAAAACTATACTGGTTCTCATGATTAACAGAATTTAGAAGAGAACCATAGAATCATTCAGATCGGAAAAGACCTCTAAGATCACCCAGTCCAACCCCAGCCCACCCCACCATGCCCATTATATCCCTCAGTGCCAAATCCCCACGATTCTGGAACACCTCCAGGGATGGTGACCCCACCGCTTCCCTGGGCAGCTGTGCCACTGCATCACTGCTCTTTCACCAACTAAATGTTACTTAATGTCCAGCCTGAACCTCCCCTCCAAGGAACAACTCTGGGAGAGGATGGCTCATAAAATGCCATCACTGTGGATTTGGGTTCTTCCCCACAGCTATTGCCCATGAAGAAAATGGCAGCAGGATGGGCTGCCCAAGCAGCTCTGCTGAAAAAGCAGAAATATCCTCTGCTGCCCAGGCTGCAGCAGTACATCCTTAACACTGCTAAAAATTGCTCAGGTTGCACGTAGTTTTCAAGCGCACACATAATTTACTGTAATATGAAAAAAGCCATCACCATCATCTCCACGCACAGTATTATGATCAACCACTGTGATCATCTTTTACCAACTTTTGCTTGCTCTCTCTTCTTCTAGAAATGCTGCAGGTCTTGTTTTTTCACGTTTTTGTTTGGTTGGTTTTTATCTCTCATTGCCATCTGCATTGAGAAGAATGAAGTAATACTGCAGGGTGTGAATCAAGACTGAAGGCACAGGGCAGGATCAGATCCAATTCTGGGATCTCTCCATCCTACCACTGCACTATGGATACTTGCAGAAACTTGGAATTTAAACTTTCAACCTATAAAATGCACTTTGGGATGTTAGGCTTGCATTCCTGACTCACCCAACACTTTCTAGTCCTAGAAGCAGCTCCTGAAATGTGTCTGGGATGGAGCTGGGTGCTAACGTAGAATGGCTCTAAAGAAGTTTTGGCCAGTCAAGTAAAACATGCTGTCTTCTTTTAAATGCATTGCCTGCCTACTTGAGATAGACCACATGCATCACTGCTCTGCTGCTCTGCTACTGCCCCGTGTGTGCAAGGAGCAATGGTTGCAGAAAGGCACTTCAAAGATCACAGACAAGTTGTTTTTCAGCCTGGAAATACACGTTTATTAGAAAAGAACAATTATGGTTTTACAAACTCATAACACACTGCATGAAAAACTTCCAAACTGACCATTTAAGCCTTGCACCATGTTGGAAAGCAGCAGCATTTACTCCTTTTTGCCTTGACTAGCAATACTGCTGCACACTTAGCTCATCTCACCTTGTTTCACACCACTTGTGTCGATGCACTACGATCCACATTGACTGCCACAAGCCCTTTTATACACAAATATGTTCAACAGCCCTAAGCACAAGTTATGCGTAAGAATGGGGTTCAGATAGCCCAGCTATGTGTGCAGTAAGCATATAAAGCAGCACAAGCACAATAACGATCCATATGTCTTCAAAAGCCATACCCTACAAAGCAGAGACATTAAGTATATGGCACAGGATGAAATGGGATGCAGTAATGGAAATGCAAATTGAATCTCGGCACCAAGTAAGTACCTCTAAAGCAGAGGCTCCACCACACAACTGCTCTGCAGAAGCCATAAGGAGCACAGTCCCCTGGGATGTGTAAAACTGGATTAGACATAAACTTCAAAACCGGTGTGCTGCAGGATAATCCTATGCTGGCAGAAAGGGATCAGGGCTAATTTCTCTCTCTAACTTGCTTAATCTTCTGCGGAGATTTCTGAACTCCAGATATCCTGCTGGAAGCTAAAACACTCTCTTTTTTAAGGTTCAGCACGGCTAACTGAAAACACAGCAAGTTAAGCATCCCAGAGAGCAAAGTGATTTTTAATGGGTCTTTATGACGGCAATCTGTGGCTGGGGACAGCAGGTCAAAGCAAAGACATCATGATGCAGGTTCGCCTACTTGGTCACTGTCAGGATGTCATCAACCAAATCACATCACATCACATCTCAGTGATGTGTCTCAGTGTCCACAAGTCACAGGATGGTTTTATATAGACATGAAGTGCACATGTATAATTTAAAACCACCCAATAACAGAATGGTTTGGGTTGGAAGGGATCTCAAAGATCATCCGGTCCCAACCCCTGCTGTGGGCTGGCTGACCACCCCCAGCTCAGGCTGCCCTCTGATAATAGGAGACAGATTCCCCTCTGTTCCACTCATATCAGAGCACAAACCTTGCTAAACCTCATGCTAGCGTGAGCTTAAGCTGACGTAGCTCTGCACATGAAGCCTATCTCCTGCATTCTTGTTTCTGCCTGTGCAGAAAGAAGAGGCATTTGGAACACGTGGGTATCACCGTTCTGATATCAATGATGGCTGAACAGCTTGGCAGCTCCTCGGGGACCTCCTCTGCCCTGGGATGGTTCCATTTGCTCCATGCACACGCAGCGTTGTACCTGTTTGTGTATATAAGTCCACTTCCCTTGGGGCTGCCACGTTGGCTTACAATTAAATTGACATAACACAAGCAAAGAAACAAGAAAACCCAACACGCTCCTTCCCAACAGGAAAGAAAAAGCATTGATCCAAGCACTGGAACATCTCACAACCCATAAAAACCTTTCAGACCTAAAAAACAAAAAAGAAAGAAAGGAAAAAATAAATAATAATGCTCAAGCATTAACTAATCCACCATCAAAAGATTCAATCTTACACAGCGAAATAAAAATTAAATAACGTTTTAAACCCACACCAGGAATTTTCCCCACTGGGTATACTACCAAGTTCCCATCTCTTAAGAGGAAAAAGTTCAGCAGAACCGTAGGAATATTTATTTCTTGATGAACTGAAGTAAGGGGAATTCTCAGCATCCTAACAATGGTTGCTAAAGGTTTGGATTAATGCGTAGATGCACTATTTTTGAATGGAACAGGAGCAAGAAGAGATGAGTTTGTGCCAAAACAAGTTGCCTGTGAGGTCTGCTTAGTGGCACCTTGGGGTATACACACCCAACATGAGCAGGATCCCAAGATACAAAGCATGTATCAAAGGGAAATGGTTTTAAATTGAGACAGGCGAGGTTTAGGTTGGATATTAGGAGGAAGTTTTTCACCCAGAGGGTGGTGAGGCACTGGAACAGGTTGCCCAAGGAGGCTGTGGATGCCCCATCCCTGCAGGCATTCAAGGCCAGGCTGGATGTGGCTCTGGGCAGCCTGGGCTGCTGGTTGGTGACCCTGCACATAGCAGGGAGTTGGAAATGGATGAGCATTGCGGTTCTTTTCAATCTAGGCCATTCTAGGATTCTATCATTCTATAATATGTATCTATGGATATGTGTGGCTACATGGGGTATCTGCCTCTTGGGATGAGATATCCTTCCACAGTTTAAATGCACAGTTAGTTGTGCTGGTAAAATGCTACTGCTAACTACTAAAAGGAGAAGCATTCAGAAGAAATTGTCTACTTTCAAGTGTAAATTAACTCTTACCCACTCATCTACAAACATCTGGGACAAAAGGTACAAAAATTTAAGTACACAGAGGCTAGATAGCATCAAATAACGGTTAGATATAAGCGGGTGCATATCATAGGCATCTGCTCTGTTAATTATTAATTTAAATGGACACATTTATAGATACATATACTCATTATATGGGTAAGCAGTTTTTGTTAGAAGAGGGCGACTGCTGTTAGTGAGACTGGGAGGAAGAGCTACGGAGAGCAGAGCAAGGCATTTCATGCAAGAGGAAGGCCAAGAATGAGAACACCTGCTACCAGAATCTGACACACAAGGCCAATACACTCCTCACATGCATGTCTTCATATGCATTCAGTGCAGCTCCTGAAAGTTAATTCCTTTTAATAGGAGCTTTTTTAAAACCTCAGTTACTTCTGGGAGGAGCCCAACTCAAACCAGACTTTTTCTTCCAGGGGAATTCCTGGATACCCCACGTTTGGAATACAGCAAATTAAAGCTAATAGAGAAGGAAAGAGGAGATCCGTCAAGAAGCAGAGGTGGTGTCTGAAGACAAAGAAACAAAAGAGCAGCAGCACAGCAGAAGCCTTTCTTTTTCTCATTACCATTTTGTTGAATTCTTTCAGGGCGATGATCTACAGCACGTCCTGTGATGAAGTCAGTCAAATAAAGCCCAACTCAGCCTTACTGCTGCTTAAGCTAAAAACAAAGATACATACGGATGGTTATGAAATGACAATGAAGAATGGAAAATAATGCTTTGTTTCACCATTCTGGATTAATGAGAACTGTGAAATAAACAAAGATGCTGTATTTTAAAGAATGGATGTGATATACGTACATTAGAATAAATACAGAGGGATAATCACAGAACCACAGAATCATAGAATGGTTGGGTTGGAAGGGACCTCAAGGATCATGAAGCTCCAACCCCAGCACCACATGCAGGACCACTAACCTCCACATTTAATACCAGCCCAGGCTGCCCAGGGCCCCATCCAACCTGTCCTTGAACACCTCCAGGGATGGACGGGGCATCCACAGCATTTCTGGGCAGCTGTTCCAGCCCCTCACCACTCTCATAGCAAAGAACTTCCCCCTTACATCCAACCTAAATCTTCCCTCCTTCAACTTAAAGCCTTTCCCCTCATCCTGCTATTATTTACCCTTTCAAAGAGTTGAATAATAAATAGGTCATCAAAAAGAAACAACAAAAATAATGGGTAAAAATGTTTATTATGCTTCTAATCGATGACAGCAATGATTGGAAATCTGCTTAGGGTGGGAATGGAGAACAGGTTTGACACGGCACACTCATGATTTGGGATAAAGGCATTTTACCAGTTACACGGCTGCAATTAAGATCATCTCAGTGGCAAACAACAGCATTGGAGGAATTATTAGTGGCTTATTTGTCATAGTGAATTACCTGCCGCATGTGTGTGCAGAACTACGGGCTTAAACATTCAAACGAATTGCCTCCAAGAAAAGTCATCTTTGTTTTCATTGTCCTCAATTTCACACCCAGGCCAGCAACACAGAACGTATGCATGTCAGCACGAAGCCTGCAGTTTGAGGAATCCACACTGACACGACAAGAACTAATCCTATTATTTCCTTAACAGCATCTAAATAGGCATTTTCCAAGTACTGCTTCTTATTGTAAATTTAACCCGTGTGTTAATTCTCTTACTGAGATCTCAAGCTGCTTTCTCCAGAATCGGGGATTTAGGGGAATAAAATCTCTTCTATTCAGTTTTGTACTTAAGAGAGACGAACCTTTCAAAATTAAGTGGGGGTTTGGTGACTGCATGCCTTAAAAACATTTCTTCTCTTTCCAGGGCATTTGGAAATGCCTCTAAAGCCAATTTTAGCACATAGAAAACAACTTTTTAGCATATTTCAAGTACACACCTCTGTAAGATAGACAGCAGTTTGGACAGCTGTCTTTAAGTAAGAATCAGGAGTGCAGAAATACGTGATGGGAAAGATTTTCAGCATGACTTTCATGACAACTTGATGAGTGAACAACCAAGCAGAGCTCCATTAGACCGAGTTATTTCCCACAGATTCAATACCCCTCCAATAAACCACAACATCCAAAGGTGATCAGGTGGGGGAAGACTTAGGGAAAACAGGTTCCTCGCCCTGACTTCCTGCAGCTGGGGAAACTTTTATCACCTTGTGCTCAGGGCAGTTTTCCTTTCTATAATGAAACACTGAAGTAAGCAGCTGGTGTAGTGATTGGCGACCCTTGGCATAGGGGTTGGCAACCCTATCTATGGCAAGGGGGTTGAAACTAGATGATCTTTGAGGTCCTTTTCAATCCAGGCCATTCTCTGATTCTGTGAAAGCAAACACTCGACACGCACACATGCTTACCATGCACTCCTGCAAAGCCCCACTACTTGCTTTGCTGTGGGTACACAGGAACTTATAGGTGGCACATTAAATATTGATTCAAAATAAATCCAAATAATTAGGCTTAAATTTTAATATCCATGTACATTTCTCTGTAATTCATCACGAAGGGAATTTCATAAGGTTCCATACGAGGCTCCGGGTTTAATTTTAATTATGCATTTCTTACATAATTCACCAAATTCAGTAATGGGCAATGAGTCTCCCAGCCATTCAAGTGAGTAACAAGATTTATCAGCCCAGTTTGTCACACGACAAATAGGATTCAGAGCTGTTATAAAGGCGGGTGATGAGAGATACATGGAGGGAGGGAAGAACCAGCAGCACTTTTATTTCCATGTAATAATGCTAATAATATGCAAATGAGTCCCCATCTTAATGAATCCTTCAGATGACTGCCACTTTCCAAACGCTGAAAGAATGAACACAGCAGCACAGCTGTTGGGTTTTCAAAGCTCTTCTGAAGCCACGAGGTTACCCATCCACTTCCACCTGCCCAAAACGACACTCACACATCATGAAAGGCATCCCCAAGCTCCTCACATCCTGCTTTTAAGAAATAGTGATGGCATCAAAAGCAGCTTAAAAATGTACATGACTGTTGAGAATGCACGGAGCCCTGCAGCGTGTAAATGTGGAGCATGGCTCTCAGGGTGCCTAAGAGAGGATGCCAAATGCTCAACCCCCCCTCTTTGGACTGAGACTTGCTCTCCTACAACTCCTACTTCTCAAACTCGATATTGGAAGTTTCTTCAAAATCTCTACAAGGATTGGAAAAGCAAACTTTGCTGTCCTTCAGTGAGCACTGCAACCAGTTGCACTCAGGCTTCTGATATCAGCACCCCTGCAGCAGGCAGCAGCTTCCCCAGGAGAACAGGCTCATGCTCACGAGCAGGTGACATCAGCTATTACAATGGCCTCGAATGGTGCTCTCCTCCCCAGTTATTTCATCCTCAAAAACGTTATAGGAACTCAAACATTTCAGATTTCTGCATCTCTTGCAACTTGCACAGGAACTCCACCCTGACTGTAGCATCCCTTCCCACATGAAAGGGAGCTCATACACAGTCTGACAGCAAAAGGAGAAGGGGGAACGGCTTTAAACTAAAAGAGGGGAGATTTAGGTTAGGTGTCAGGAAGAAATTCTTTACTCAGAGGGCAATGAGGCCGTGGCACTGCTGCTCAGAGCTGTGGGTGCCCCATCCCTGGAGGTGACCAAGGCCATGGATGGATCCTGGGCAACCTGAGCTGATGGGGGCACCCAGCCCGTGGCAGAGGTTCAAACTTGGTGGGCTTTAAGTTCTCTTCCAACCCAACCATTCTGATTCTATAATTCTCATTTGAAAACCATTTTTTCATTCCTGCTCTGACATTCATTTTACTCTAGCTTCTCACACCTCCTTGTATCCACTCTGATTTCCAGTTTGTCTTCCCCTTCCCACAAACCGTTAGGACAAGTGTCAACCATCACCAGAGGTGTCTCACCCCTCTGCTCTCCAACCAACTCTCCAGCCTGACTTCTAAGGTTGTGATGTGGTATTCCTTTTTGAAAAAATCATTTACATATATATTTATCCATATAGCCATTTGTAATTTATCCATGAATCAATCTCATTCAATATCTATTCACATTAAATTCAACCCAAAATCGCAGCTCTAGTTTTAATGGCATTACATCAGCTATCCTTTTTCTCCTAATAACTCCATTTGGCACAGTTTTGCTTGGAGCAGCTGTTCAGTAAAAGAACAAGCCAGTGTGTGTCAGCTTAGGTCGTAACACATGTAGTTTTAAACTTTTAGGTTGCTTATCTGACCATATTGTACATATGTCCCGATGAAGGATATCCGGATTTGGAAAGGACCCATAAGGTTCATCATGCTCCACACAGGACCTCCCAAAAACTTAAAGACAAGTTATGTTTTAGAGGTTTTATAAAGATATCAAGAGAAAAGAGACCCTGAGTTCCCACAGAAAACAAGTTTGAGCACACAAAAGATGACTGGTGACTCACTGGAACAGGTTGCCCAAGGAGGCTGTGGATGCCCCATCCCTGCAGGCATTCAAGGCCAGGCTGGATGTGGCTCTGGGCAGCCTGGTCTGCTGGTTGGCGACCCTGCACGTAGCAGGGGGTTGAAAATAGATGATCACTGTGGTTCTTTTCAAGCCAGGCCATTCTATGATTCTATCATTCTACGATTCCAATGCCAAAGAAGATTGTGAGCCTTGCTTTGCTCACATCCTCAGGGAAACCACAGCATGAACCTTTCTTTTCTCAGTCATCAAAGAACCTGCACAGAAGAAAACCCTATAAATGACAGAAAAACCTTGCACCAGCCTGCAGTACCCTCCTGGGGGCCAGAGCAGCCAGCCATAAGACAGCGGCCCCCAGGACGCCAGGCTTCGTTAGGCCTGGCACTCACAGCACGGCCTGTGAGACGTGTCAGCTGGAAGACAACAAAGCAGGCCCTTGCCAATGTCTCCCTTCCCAAACCAACACAGCGTATGACTTCACTGGGAAATTGCTGCCTCTTCACATGTTTTGCTCATTTTGACCTCAAATTGAGCTGTTTCTCCTGTGAGATGGGGCCTGCAGAGATGGGATTTCAGCATCTGATCCAGCATCAGAAGAGCTCTCCACTCACTGAATGCTCTGAACTAAACAAAGAAATTAGTTCCCACTTAAGGGTTGCCTTTATTCACCAGAGGACAATGTCCTGCTCCCAGATATTTACCACAAAATATCCACATGGCTCAGGAATTCCTTCTTCTACAGCAAGGAGAGACACCACGATTGTATTGCACCCACTGACACACATCATTTCCAAAATAAAAAGTGAAGTCCTGAGTGTCCTCCTAACCCAGACAGCCTACAGGTCAGCAAAATCACTCAGGAAAGACATCTCCTGAGACAGAAATTAGCCATGTTACACCTCACCATTCCTCTTCCTGGTGCGTTATGGGTGGCACAGAGGTGAAGAAGTGGTAGGAGCTTCAGCTGGAGGCCAAAAAAGAATCAGTTGCATCTGAAACAGCCTGAGAAAACACAGCACTGCCAGCTAGGGCATCATGACACCCTTCAAAGGAAGCGACCCACAGATTTCTGATAAGCCACGAAGCCCTTTGTTCTTCCCTAAATTACTGCTAAGTAGGCAAATGAAAAGAAGCAGCAAGTCTTGCAGCAAGTCCCACAGCACCCAAATAAAAGAGGGGAATGATGATGGACAAATAAGCTACCAGACTGGGGAACATCACTTAACAGAGCAGCTTTGTGGGTAGC